AAGAACTTCTTCAATCTGTATAGGTGTCATCAGATGTTAGGAATTTGAAATTTTAAAGACCCAGAAAGATAGGATCTTCCAAGGTGATGCTAGTGGTAAAGACCACATCTGTATATGCAGGAGACATAAAGAGACATGAGTTTGAACCCTGGATTGGGAAGATCCCCTGGAGAAGGGCATGGAAACCCACTACAGGAGGCTTACCTGGAGAATCCCATGGACAAAGGAGCCTGGAGGGCTACATATAGATCATGGGGTCGCAAAGAGTCGGACACAACTGAAGCAGCTTAGCGTGCACACGCATGCCCAATGTGTTAATAACTGGTATATCGTATATCTTGTAATAGATTCAGGGAAGGAACGTAAATCAATTTCCTGTTGCTCCATTTCGGGGCTTCCCTGGTAGCTCAGGTGGTAAAGAATACGCCTGCAATGCAGGAGACCCCGGTTCGATTCCTGGGTGGAAAAGATCCCCTGAAGAAGGAACAGGCTCCCCACTTCAGTATTCTTGGGCTTCCCCGGTGGCTCAGCTGGTAAAGAATCCGCCTGCAGTGTGGGAGACCTGGGTTTGATCCCTGGGTTGGGAAGATCCCCTGGAGAGGAAACAGCTACCCACTGCAGTATTCTTGCCTGGAGAATTCCATGGATTGTATAGTCCATGGGGTCACAAAGAGTCAGACACGACTGAGCAACTTTCACTCACAGAAAAATACGCCTCTATTGCTACAATATGGAACTCTTTCCAAAATAACTGTGAAAATCCAGCAGCGTTTTGCCTGCAGTAAAAAACAATTTCTATTCGAGAAAGATTTGTGAAATGTGCTAGACAGGTCTTCCAGGAGGGAGAAAGCCTGCATTTACACATTACACTGGTTGTGTGCCTGTCACTTACGGTAACACAGTCATGGAAAGAAACAAGGAAATATGCAGCTTTTTTTGTAAGGACTTTCTGTCACTGGGCCTATGTTCTCTCTTGCTAGTCTTCTTACTTTGGGAAACGCTAGAAATAATTCAACAAGAACTTCTTGTCTTGAGATGACTAAAAGATGCTCCCACCTCCCACCTCTTTCTCCTCTTGTAAATCATCCAGAAACAAAAACAAAAAAGAAAGTTAAAAAAAGAGAGAGAAAATTATCCATCTTTGATAAAGTCAGGAGACTTCTGATACCCAAAACCCAAACTCCACTCTCCTCTGAAAAAAACAGGCTTCCTTCCTGATCAGATTATGGGGGAAGCCCAGCAGTCCACACCCCCTTCTTCCCATGTTGCCCTACCCCAGCACACACATTCACACACACACAGTCATGCATACACATCTACCACACACATTCACACACCACACAAACACACACACACGTCACACCTATTACACACCATACACATACTCACACAAACACATGCCATACACTCACACACACAGTCACCACACAAACATACCACAGAATACATACATATATCACACATCACACACACATATGCACATACCTCACATGCACTCATACATACAACTTCCAGTCAGCCTTTCTGTGCCCCACTTTTAAATATGAGATTTCAGGATTGCTAGGTATTTGAGAATATGTTTCAGCAAACAAGAGGCCAAAATGAACTGAGGGAAAAAAAGAATTCAGAGGAAATGAATCAAAGTTAACATGAGTTAATATTAATATCCTGAGATGAAAAAACATAGCCACAAGAATAGGAATTTTTTTAAAGAAAGGTGTCATCAGAGTGCCAGAAAGACCTCATCTCTTTGAAATTAAAAATAGATAAGTCAAAAAAATTAAGTCAGTGGAAGGTCGGAAAGCTAAAGTTGAAACCGCCTCTAAAAGTAAAATAAAGGGATTAAGATGGAAAAGGAGAGGCGGGTATAAATGTCAAACATTGGGACTTCTCTGGCTGTCCAGTGGTTAAGACTCTGAGCTCCCAATGCCGAAGGCAAGGGTTCAGTCCCTGGTTGGAGAACTATTATTAATAAGATCCCACATGCTGCATGAGGTGGCCTAAAAGATAAAAAATAAATGTCAAATATCACTGAGGAAGTCCAACATCTAAGTAAGAGGAATTCAACAGAGAAAAGAGTGAGAAGAAATGATCAGAGAATGAATGTGAGGAAATTTCCTCAAACTGAACTATAAATCCCCAGAATAAAAGTACTCCTCAAATACCCAACATGGCCCATGACGAGAAGACCCAAAATAAGACGTATTATAATAATGAAAGTTCACATTACTGAGTGTAAAAAAAATTGTAGACTTCTGGAGGCAGAATGGAGCAGAAGATAAGAATTTGAATGCCATATGAGAACACATTGACTTCTCAAAGGTAACAATGAAGACCAGTGATTAAACAACAAACGAAGAACACATGAGAAAGGAGAGAAAGACCTTCTAATGCATTCAGCAAATTTAGAGAGAATGATCGACTTCAAAAATTACCATTGCAACTGGTGTATGAATCACCGATTTAGGTAAGAGTCATCCATGAATGTGGAAACTAGTTGTGGTGTCTCACCCCAAATTACTTCCTTTGAGACAACTCTTACCACGAGCTAGGCAATTCATGTTTGATCACCTCAGCTCCATGAGCTGGCTACCACTTTGGTATGCCCACTCTACAGATTAGGAAGTATCCATGGCCACATGTTCTGGAGACAGAACTCAAATCCAGCCAGAATTCGTCCCCCAAACCCCATGACCTTCTGCCTGGGCTGAGAAGGGACTCTGGGGTGACACCAGCCTCAGGGTGACCAGGTGTCTGGTATCCTAAACTCTAGTGGGTGAGAGAGGACAAACTGTGGGGGGTATGTGTGTGGCTTTGGGGGCCCCACGACAACTGCCACTGGCTGGCCATTGAGGCGAGATGTGGACAGGACAACAGCTGTTGCTCTGGTTCCTCATCCAGTCCCCAGAGTTCAGGCTCAAGCCTCCTGCTTTGCCTTTATTTTTTTTTTAATTTTTTTTATTCACTTTATTTTAGTTTTTATACACAAAGAAAAATCATGTTCATATCCATCATGAACAAAAACTTAAAAAGGCAGAACTAGAAGACATGTGTCCTTCACCAAAGCAAAGCTGTGCTAAAGGTTCCAAACATTTCAATTTTTAAAATAAATATTTTCATTTTCCGATGTCTACTTTCATGTCTTCAGAGTGTCACAAGGAAATTGAAGCTATCATGAATTACATTTTGTTTAGAGTCCCCGCTCACTGTGTTTGGTAACTGGCCATGCCATATCCAACTTGGTTGGGAGGAGGTATTACAGGGGGGAGGGGCTTGTCCCTGGGGAGGCTGAGCACCAAATCCACCCATCCAAGCAGCTGAAGGCGATTGATCTACTCCAAATCCTTGTTGATTCCATGGCTGCCCATATACTCCGTAAGGCGGTACTTACCATCCATTTGCCATATACTGTCCATACTGTTGTGGGTTTCCATAAACTTGGCTCCACTGGCCCCACTGACTATAGTCAACCTGTTGAAAGTTTTTAGTCATATCAGGAGATTCTTTACCCCAGTAGCATTTAACAACATGTCCTTCAATTGTAGTACCATTCACCGAAACAATAGCATGAGCCGCACTTTCATGGGTAGAAAATCTGACAAATGAATAGCCCTTTTCTGGAAAAACTCTGATTTCCATAATTTGCCCAAATGGTGAGAAGGTCTGCCTCATAAGCTGATCTGTTAAGCCAGAAGCAATTCCTCCGCAGTACACAGTACAGTTTTTTGGACTTGACTGCTTTGCCTTTAAAAGCAGAGTTAGAGGTGGTGTTATCTGCATTGGCCAGATAGTCATCTCCTCTCTCATTTATCTTTGCCCTTGTAAACACGGGCTCGAACCACTCCAATCACCAGAAAGCTCATGTGTCTTTCTTCCAGGAGCAGGCACGAAGACCAGGGTCCATCTCTTGTGTTGTCCAAGCACTTCAGGGCCAATCTACACAGGGCCTGGATTCAGCTGTTCCCAGTTATTTCTGAATGAGCCCTATAAATAACTAGAGATACCAACAGGATTACAAGAAGGTTTCCCTCATACCACTTGGATGGTTAAACATAAACATTCCAGAACACCACCACTTTGAGAATCCTGCTTTGAGAAGTGTTTCTGTTTTAAGGATCGCATAAAAGTGGAAGGGTTGCAGAGCCTCTGTCTTTCTCTGGATAGTCCCAATTCTGAAGCAACGTGTCTGTTTTCTGCTTTAGACGAACGTCTTTGTGGTTACATGAGCTCATGTGACGGCCAATAGAGTTTGTTGAATAAAATAAGGATCCCATGCTATCAATTTTTCAACCAACAGGGCACCAGTTTTATTAGAAGCTCTGCAATAAAGACCACCAACAATAAGGAGAGATATCCTTACAAAACTATAGCAAATAGAAGTTCTAGCAATAAACAGTCAAGACTGACTAGCAGGCTTTTTGTCAATTTGATGATCATTTTTGATAAAATGTCATTCTTTTCCTGGTTTTCAAATCTTCCTTTATTGCTTTTTCATGCTGCCTCATTTACGTGGAGACCCTGATGCTGGGAAAGATTGAAGGCAAGAGGAGAAGGGAACGATGGAGGATGAGATGGTTGGATGGCATCACGGACTCAATCAACATGAGTTTGAGTAAATCCTGGCAGTTGGTGACAGACTGGGAGACCTGGCGTGCTGCAGTCCATGGGGTCGCAAGAGTCAGACACGACTAAGCGACTGAACTGAACTGAAAATGACATTTTAAAAAATGTTTTTCATAAAAATTAAGTAGAAAAGTACAAATAGCCCCATAGTGGCATTTTTAAAGATCGTTTATTCAGAGTGCATTATAGTATCCAATTGAACAAAAAAACACAAATATTAAGTTCTGTTTACAAAATGCTCACCGCATGCGTAGATTCATGTTTTTCCGGTTAGAACGAAAAATTCAAGGCGCAAGGCCTGGCTCCAGGAAGGCGGGCGGTGGCCGCGCCTCCCCACCCGCAAGGCTGCCACGTAGCTGACGTCCCGCCCTGCCCAGGCGCCCGGGCCTGGCTCCTCGGGCGGACCTCGGCAGGAGGCTGGCGCCGCGGCTTCGCAAGCCGCCTCGGCCGGCCCGGGCCCCGGGCGCGGCGTTCCGGGCCAAGGGCAACTTCTACGCGCGCTTCTCGCCGGTCCCGCGCGCTGCAAGAAGCAGTTCCTGGACTTCGGATCTGTGCTTGCTTGTGAAAAGACCTCACTTCTGTTTCTGCGGCAAGAGGTGCCTGTGAGATTGGCAAATACAATGAAAGAAGTAAATCTCCTTCCAGATTATCTTCTCTGGACACCATCAGTTCAGTTGCTACAGAGCTGGTTTAAGGACAAAAGTGCTGAAGATGCTAAAACTGTTTATGAGTTTACAGTTGCAGTGATACAGATCAGGAACCGACACAATGAGGTGATTCCCACAATGGCTAAAGGTGTGGTTGGATACAAGGAGAGCTCTCGGGTGGATCCTGTCACCAGCCAGAATGTTCAGTAATTTTTGGATTGTTTCTACGTGAGTTGAATTTCAGTTAGAATGTTACTTAATCAGCACTCTTTATTATTTGGTGGAAAAGGCAAAGGAAGCCTATCTCATCGAGAACACCTTGGAAGCATAAATCGAAACTGCAGTGTGGTTGAAGTTATTAAAGATGGCGATGTGAGAGTTGGTCTATAAAGCAAGCTGAGCACGGAAGAATTGATGCTTTTGAACTGTGGTGTTGGAGAAGACTCTTGAGAATCCCTTGGACTGCAAGGAGATCCAACCAGTCCATCCTAAAGATCAGTCCTGGGTGTTCATTGGAAGGACTGATGTTGAAGCTGAAACTCCAGTACTTTGGCCACCTGATGTGAAGAGCTGACTCATTGGAAAAGACCCTGATGCTGGGAACGATTGAGGGCAGGAGGAGAAAGGGACAACAGAGGGTGAGTTGGTTGAATGGTATCACCAACGCGATGGACATGAGTTTGAGTAAACTCCAGGAGTTGGTGATAGACAGGGAGGCCTGGTGTGCTGCAGTCCATGGGGTCGCAAAGAGTCAGACATGACTGAGCAACTGAACTGATGTAAATGCTAGGCATCTATGTGATTTGTATTATATTAAAGAGTCAGCCCCGACTGAGCTGAACTGAACTCTCCCAAACTAGAACTGAAGAACTAAATGAATGCAATGAGAGCAAGGATGGAGCATCATGCCGACAAAGGTCCTACTCACATCACACTTACCCATCACCTTACCCACATCACACTGGGTAAGAAGGATTTGACTGTGAAGATGAGTGACTGAGGAGGTGATGTTCCTCTGAGGACAACTGACCGACTGTTTAACTACATGTACACCGCTGCACTCCGGCCTCATGTCGAGATGTCCCGAACAGTGCCCCTGGCTGATTTTGGTTATGGATCGCCCATATCACATCTTTATGCACAGTACTTCCAAGTAGACCTAAAGTTCTCTTCTCGAGAGGGCCATGGGACAGAGGCAGTCATCTACATTGAGGCTCTCTCAACACAATCAATACAAAAACTCCTGGTATATAGCGAAGCTGCCTGGAAGCATTATAACACCAACCATGAGGCTGACGACTGGTGTGTCCCCAGCAGAGAACCACAAGACATGATGACATTCTGCAGTGCCTAGACACACTCGGGGCCCCTGGAAAATCCAGATGTGGCTTTTTATTAAATTTGGAAGGGGTGGTGTTCAGAGGAAAAAAAAAATTAAAGGAATATCACCTCTTAGAGCAGAACAATTTATCTTAGCTAATTAACACAGAGGATGGGGCACTTATAGCATGATGACCTTGGAGTTCAAGGTCACTGAGAAAGACTGTGTGTTCCTTTGATGCCACAAAGTGTCAGAATGTCTGAAATATGCATGCAGTGTTTCAGGTTGAAGTTTGAACAAACTCATGAGGCCTTTGGGCTTCTACAATTTAAAATAATTTTATCAACTATCAACTCTCCCCACCCCAACTCCTCCCAAGTTTTGCTGTTTTGTCAGGTTTGATGAAGACATTATATCTAACTATATATGTTTTCACCCTTCCCTAAGCTAGAACACGTAAGATTCCAGAACACATGTTAACTAATCTGGGCTGTATCCTCTTTGCAACAGGAGATCACTTTCATCTTTTTATTATTAGAGAAGAAATTGCTTTACTTAATCAGAAGGTAAATTGGAGACCCAAAAGGAATCTTTAAACATTTTAGAAACATTTTTTGAGGTCATTTCAGTTCAGTTCAGTCGCTCAGTCGTGACCCCATGGACTGCAGCACGCCAGGCCTCCCTATCCATTGCCAATTCCTGGAGTTTACTCTAACTCATGTCCATTGAGTCGGTGATGCCATCCAGCCATCTCATCCTCTGTCATCCCCTTCTCCTCCTGCCTTCAATCTTTCTCAGCATCAGGTTCTTTTCAAATGAGTCAGTTCTTTGCATCAGGTGGCCAAAGTATTGGAGTTTCAGCTTCAGCATCAGTCCTTCCAATGAATATTCAGGACTGATTTCCTTTAGGATGGACTGGTTGGAGCTCCTTGCAATCCAAGGAACTCTCAAGAGTCTTCTCTAACACCAGTTGAATCTAATTCAACCCCATTTGAGGATTTCAGCATCAAAAATATTGAATGATAACAATGCACCATATAAAAACCTTGTAAGGGAAAATTCCTGCTTTACAGATGAAGAAAATGACACTCTGCTATTTATAACATTACAGTGAATAAATGACAGAACTTGTATTTAAACCCAGGCTTTCTCTCCCTCCACTCCCCTCCTGTCCAGATGCTATCCCAGATGGTAACACCTGGCCAGAGGTCACCGACTTGACTCCCCAGAGGCCCAGAGAAGAGCGCAGAGATGACAATATGCATCAGTGGGTTTTAGTCCCATAAGAAATCTCGGGACTATAGTTTACCTTTTCTGTTTTTCCCGAATTTCTCACTTGGCTAGAGGCTAATTTGCCTCGGATCCTATTCTGCTGTCTGGTGTGCAGTGAGTTTAGCAGAGCAGATTCTGTCTGCAGGTGAGGCCAGCCGCGAGTGGAGTAAATTCATTTGAGGGGAGGCTGATAGCACCGCACTTGCCACAGACCTAGGCCACGTCTTGACCTCCTTCATTCTGGGTCCTTTGTCCCTTTCTTGGTTGAATTCAAATGCTGGAGTGGAAGAGAGTTATGCTCTGTATCTAGTTACTCTGGAGCCCCACAGCTGTGGAATCTCACTGGTTCAGCAGAATGGACCTCCTGGCCTGCGCCTGATGGCCTTCAGCTCCGGACTGTCCTTTCTCTCCTGTGACAGTCCGTGTCTTGTGACCTGCGCTCTGGGTTCAGCTCCCAGTGACCTGTGTGTGTCCCAGCCGGTGGCTGTGAGGTCTGCAGGGCCAGGATACCCCGCTGGACCTCATCACCATCACCTAGCATATAGAACAGTTACCGAGTCCAAGCTCGTACTGCTTACTGCAAGATGGGCCAGTAAATCGAGAGACAAGTTGTTGAGGCAAGAATAGCAACTTGACTTGGCAAGCCAGCAGATGGAGAAGATGGTGGGCTTGTGCCCCCAGAGAACCATCTTGCCTGAGTTAATTCATGCTTCTTTTATACTTAGAGGGAAAAAAAAAGGACATAAAGCCAAACACTTGCCAGTACCCATCAGCCTCTGGAGGGGGTGTGCTAATTTCTTCCTCCTGCAGTCATTTCACAGATAGGCATGGTCAGGATGCTAAACAAAGGTATTTAGCTTAATGCTCATTATCTGGGAGGCAGAGTTCCCAGAGATGGGATTCCATTATGCGGAATTTCAGCTTATAGGCAACATCCCTTTTAGTGATGAACTTGTAATAGAATACAAAGTTTTCCCCTATTACAGAATGTGCCCAATAAACACATTTTAGTGAAAGAATATAAAAGTTATATTTTATTCCCTTAAGTAGAAGTATAATTTTCTATTTGGGTATAGGTTTTAGAAGTGGCCCACCCATCAATAGTGAATCAGAAAGTGTTTGTTTCTGCTTCTCCTTGAGAGCACAAACAAGCAAAAGATGTGTTTTCTGGCCCCAAGGATCTTACAATTTTGTTGATACATATCTTAAAAATTTAATGCATAATCATTCATGAGAATATATGACAAATGCCAAATCAGTTGCACATATAGGAAGGCCTATAAATCATCAGAGGGTTGTCTCTGTTGTATAAGGGAGCTTTGAGATAAGTGGACTTTGAAGGATGGATGAGGTTTAAAGAGAGGAAGTGACGTGAAAATGATATTTAAATGAGCAGAGGTGTGGTCCAAAAAGGAACAGGATGAATTTAAGAACACAGAGTATGCTGGGCTGTTTAGAGAAAAAATTTAAATTAAGAAGCAATAAGAAATAAGGTTGAAAAGGTAAGAGGCATCTAGATTATACAGAACTTTGAGGGTAGTTCTTAGAAATTTGGATCTCATTTTATAAGAAATAAGTAAGTATAGTAATAACCTTTAAAAATTGTGAATCACTATATTTTGTACACTTATAATTTATATAACATTGTATAGCAACTATACTTTGATTAAAAAATAAATGACTAGGACTTCCCCAGTGGTCCAGTGGTTAAGAACTCATCTGCCAGTGAAGTTTGATTCTTGGTCTGAGAAGATTCAGCATGCCTTGGGGCTACTCAGCCTGCCTGCCACAATTACTGAAGCCTGTGTGCCCTAGCAATAACCTCAGATGCACAGATGACACCACCCTTATGGCAGAAAGCGAAGAGGAACTAAAGAGCCTCTTGATAAAAGTGAAAGAGGAGAGTGAAAAACTTGGCTTAAAGCTCAACATTCAGAAAACTAAGATCATGGCATCCAGTCCCATCACTTCATGGCTAGTAGATGGGGAGACAATGGAAACAGTGAGAGACTTTCTTTTCTTGGGCTCCAAATCACTGCAGATGGTGACTGCAGCCATGAAATTAAAAGATGCTTGCTCCTTGGAAGAAAAGCTATGACCAACCTAGACAGCACATTAAAAAGTAGAGACATTACTTGGCCAACAAAGGTCTGTTTAGTCAAAGCTATGGTTTTTCCAGTAGTCAGGTATGGATGTGAGAGCTGGACTATAAAGAGAGCTGAGCGCCAAAGAACTGATGCTTTTGAACTGAGGTGTTGGAGAAGACCCTTGAGAGTCCCTTGGACTGCAAGGAGATCCAACCAGTCCATCCTAAAGGAGATCAGTCCTGGGTGTTCACTGGAAGGACTGATGCTGAAGCTGAAACT